TGATAAAAAAATCATACTCCATAAATTAAAAAATAAAATACTATAGAATTATGACAAAATTGCAAATTTCCATAATTATAATGAATAGGCATAATAAACACATTATATTATAACAATTAGGAGACATAAAATGGAAAAACAATTGTTGAAACCACAATTATATTCTTTTAAAGTATTTTCAAAAAGTAATAAATTCATGCCAATATTGAGTTGCAATTAAAATTAATAATAACACTAAAAAATCCATAAAATAATGATAATATATTCTTTTAAATAAATCTACGGCTCCAGACCAGGCAAATATATATCATGTTGATTAAAATGGTAATAATGAATTAGCAAAACTTGGTAAGCTAGCAGCATAATTAACGCAAAGTAGGTGACAATCAGTTATCATTAGTAATAACGTTAACCTATTGACGTAATTATTGGCATAAACATTTATAAGTGGAAAACGTAAAAGTTATAAAAAAAAATACCTTAATTAATGCAAAATCGTGAGCCTATCTAAAGCTGCATTATATTACCCAAACGACCATCTCGTTTGCTGCTTTAATGTTCCACATTATTCTTGCCAGAAACCATGGAGGAAAGGCAAGAATGCATGCCGGAAAATGAGAAGTTGCACCTGAGGAAAGGCAAAATTGTGTTGGACAGAGCCTCGGGTCCGAGAGAGCGACAGAAACCTGAGTCCAGGAGAGCTATGGGGTATTCATCAAGGTCTCAAAAGAGCATGTGATTTAGGATTCTGTAAAGTGGTGATCGAGTCTGACTGTGCCATGCACAGCTATTAACTACATGAACAATAATGATGATGTCGGGGGTTCTAAAAGGAACCTAGTTGACATGTGCAGAGACATGAGAGAAGGGAATTGGGAAGTCCGCTTTAACCATATTCCGAGGGAGCAGAACAAGGTGGCCAATGCGATCGCCAAAGGAGCCTTACATCAAGAAGCGGAATCTCGAAACATCAACCATGCGCCGCAAAGCATATTGAGACATCTGCGCGAAGACGAGATTGTTGTGTGTAAATGGTACGTAAATATGAAGACCCAAGCTGATCTGTAGGTGTTTTATACGAACTGGAATTGGATAGAATGAAGAACAACGATCTGTGGCATGTCTAAAAACACTACCTTAAACTTAATATTATATTTCAAGTGACGGGTCGGCAAGTTTTCGACAGGCGACACAAATTAGTAGTAATGCTCAAACGATAAATAAGATGGACAAACGAAGAAGAAGATTGCAAGAAAAATGCTCTATCCGTTCGTTTTTCTCTGCTCAACTGGAGGAGTACGTATTTAACTATTTATACTATGAGGCTTCAACAAATTCCAGCATGTAGTTTATCACTTGTAAATATTTTTCTCAAAAGGACCAACACCTCATTCATCTTCAATTGAGGTATTTATAGACTCCCTTGGATTTGTTCATTGGATGGTGACAGGATAATGGTGCTGGCACCCTACCCGGATCATAAGCAGCATCTGACCCGACACCACATGGAATGGTGCTGGCACCCGACCCAGATCATAAGCAGCATCTGACTCGACACTACATGGAAACCCAACGGGCAAAACTCCAACGGGCAGAATTTCAACGGTTGTCACCATTGATGAGAGAGAATTAAAGGATTAGCTCCCCATTTATGCTTCATGTTGTTACCGTTAGCAGCTTTTGTATAAGTAGGGGCTCCCATCAGCTTGGAGGGGGACGTTCAATACTCTGGACAAAGACACTGTACTCTCGATACTGAGACAAAAGCAATACAACTATTGTTACTTTCTTATAACGTTATTATAGTATTATTACCGGTAACATTATTACCGTCAGATGGAAACAAAATTCAAAAGGATAGTCTCTATCCAATGTGTAATAACCAGTGGTTTGCGTGTTGCGTTGTCCATGTCAAAATTTTCTAGTTGTTGTTTGACTTTTAGTTCATAAATTTATTTGCTTTTCAACTTGCTCTCTGTCTTAGCTATTTTATGAAAATCCTCTTTGATATGTGCACCTAGGTATCTGTGTGGTGATAATATACCCAATCACTATACTGTCGGTGTGATTGTGCGGATTGTAGTGTGACTTGAACGATTGGTACTAGGTTACTTCTCTATTTGGACTCTTAGGTTTCTGCTTAACTTTCACTACAATCACCTTCTCGGACAACCTTTCGGATTGGGTGACTTTAAGTCACCCCAATTATTATCCAATTGATTTACCTTCTAGTCCCAAATAAACCATTCGATTCTTATTTGGCATTATTTGACCTTTAGACCTTCCGAGTCTTCAACTCTTGGACTTTTCGGTCTTGTACTATTTAGTCTTGATCTTTCCTACTGGTGACTCTTCGATTGTACACAATCCCATTGTTGACTATCCAATTATTGATTGTCTAGCACCTTTACTATTTGTTTCTATGAACTATATATCTGGTACAAATTACTTTCCAATTAGTTCTACCTTATCGATTGAACAAATATCCGATAAATTTACCTTATGGGTAGTGAAGTTCATTCCTAAGTTGAAACTTTCGGATGATACAACGAATAAAACCTAAGTCTAAAAATTATAAAGAGTTGGGGACATAATTTTCTAACATGTTTGGTATCATTAAAATGCAATACATTATACAAATAGTTCCTAACAAAAGGGAAGGAAATAAAGCCCTCCTCTCCATCCATAGTTACGATGGAAGCAATCATGCTTCCTCAATTGATGGGGAGTGGCTGAGTCTTGTGATTTGATGGAGAATGAGGTGGTTGCCCCCTCCTAGGATTTGAGAACATGGTAGCCTCATCCATTCTTGTTTATTTTTACAATTTTTATTAATGTATATATAATTATTTCACTTTTGCTCCTACGACTTAGGTCCACTTTTGGTGCACAACTTTAAATTTTTTTAATTTTGGTGCCTAACTTTGCTTCTTTTTTTTTTATCAGTTTTGGTCATTTCGGTCAAATTGGCAGCTAAATGTTGTCAAATTTTATATTTTTAAGGGTAAAACTGTCAACGTAAGAGAAAGTCTTAGTTATCTAAACAAAAGAGAAATTAGAACATTTCACCCCCATTATCAAACACTAAATCACAACATAAAATTTCATACAACTCTTATAATAAACATACACATTCATAAGCTTGAGGGCGACTGCGCTGAGGAGGATTCCCCTGGCACAGTCGATGTTCAGGGCGTGCTTGACAGATGACCAGTCCTAGACGGTGTTGACCATGCACTTTGTCATTTCCAGTGAAGCAGAACAGAGGAGTAGAAGACATTTCCTACGGCGAAAAAAATGAAAACGGTGGATGACAAGAATTGTAGTATTTGTGGGATGGAAAGAAGGTTGGGAATGAATATTCCCGAGAATGTCATTCTCAAATGATGGACAATTTGGAATTGAATATCATGCGATCAAACGCAAGCACACATTTGCAATAAGAAGCTAGAGGAAAGCATTGTGTGCAAGGAGTAGAAGAATGCAAAGAAAAGCAATGAAGTTAGTAAAATGGTGTTAGGTAAATTGGATTGCCTATCCCTTGTGTATGTGAAGTGAATTAACCTAGGAGTGCAACTACATGGTGAATGAGTCTATGTGAGATGACTTCCAATGCCTTTCACCTCTCGGCTACTAGGTTTATCATAGGTGTAGAACCACCTTTAAGTGACTACGTTCCTTATGATCATTCCAACGAACACCTTGTCTACATCTCATTCCCATCTTCGGCCTCTCGAAACATAAAGAAGGGAATTGCAAGGGGGACAAGTCTAGGATTAAGGCACAATCTCTTGCAAGCCTATTCTTACTCAAACCCCAAGCATGTGGTGCGCACTCACACACAAGAGTCCATACAAACTCCCCTTACAACAAGACGTCAACACAAGCCACAACTACCTAGATCAATTCGTACACCACATGCACAATGAAATATGGTCCGCAATTCAAAAAGAGATTTCTAGCCAAGCATTGTCTAGATTGCAATATAAACACAATTGAGCAAGGTAATACAATTATAAGATGGAATTGAAGATGAAAATTGCATGAGATTACCAAGCTAAATTGCTACAATCTACTACATTACAAGAGAACAATCAATGCATGGAGGTAGAGTTGTCAATTCTTCCTTCAATCCTTGAAGATCCTCTTGCTTGGATGGAGAATTGAGATGAGCTTGATCTAGAAGATGACCTACTCTAGAGAGAGAGTTTCCTAATCTACAAAGCTCTGAAATTACACAAAATGAAAGTTAGATTGTGAGTCCCTCTATTCATCACGCCAAAGAAGCCTTTTAAAGTTGAATTTCTGGTGCGTGTATGCACGGGTGTACGCTCGTACGCCCCTGTGTACGCAGTCCATTTCCCGACTTTTCTCATCCACGGCTCGTGGATCTTGCTCGTGGGACTTTAATTTCTATTTCCAATCCACGATGGTCCACGAAAGTGGGCCCTCGTGGATTGGTTGCTTGGCGCCTTTAATTTCTCCATTGCATTCTTCCTCGGTTTGCTTCAGTTCATGCCATTGTGTATGCCTTTCTTTAAGCTCAAGGCCCTTCAAAACATTAAAGTGTATATGTTTATGGGCATTTACAACACATTAGCACATTTCATAGCATTTACACCATAAATCATTCACAATTAGCTTCAACTAAGCACAACGCAACCCTTTAATGACCCATAAAAGGTTGTATCTTTGGCACTTATCACTAGACAGGGGGTGATGGAGTTTGTGAATCCTGTGGCGGATGTCGCGAAGCTAGGCCCAGGCACGAAATGCTAGAAACAGAAGTAAATGGATTCAAGGTCGTAGAGGAGGAAGAACACCGAAAGAATAGAGAAGAATACGACATGGATTAAGATAATGATATGGATTTGCCAATTGTCAACGTTATAAATCCCATAGATCTGTGTCTAATCTCAGCCCGTCTTCCCCATTATTCTCATCAATCAAACAACCATGCCGATACGTGTTTTCTTGAATGAAAAACTAAAAAGTCTCACTTTTGATAATATATTCCTCAAAAATATGCACTCACCCACGAGTTCAATCATCAAAACACATGATTACGGAGTAAAAGACAAGCAAAACTTGCCAGAAAATTATTGATTCTGGCATGTACACTTACTGGCAGCTCACTTTGGGGGAGGGGAAGAAATGTTCTGATTTTACAGTGGTTTTGTTTATATATTGAACATCTTTTTTTGGATTGACAATTTTTACCCTTAAAAATATAAAAGTCGGCAACATTTCATGATCAATTTGACCAGAAGGACCAAAACTGAATTTTAAAAATCATATTAGGCACCAAAATTAAAAAAAAAAAAAAAAATTAAAGTTGTGCACTAAAAGTAATAGGACTTTAAAAGTTGTGTGATTAAAAGGGAAATTAATTTTTGCCAACCAATTTAAGAAATATGTTATTTTGTTTTTTAATTGGCATTCCATAGCAAAATATCATTGAAGACTTGTTTACATGTGAATAATGCAAATTGCACCAATTTTGTAAGAAAAAAAAATATTGTGTGAGATTGTCTCACATATAAAAATACTTCATTTTAACTAAAAAGTATTACATGAAACGATGTGTATCACATAAAACTTATGCATGTTGTAATGTTAAATACGGAGTAGTTCACTTGCACAGTGGTCCAATATCACAAACAACAAAATATTCAATGGCATATTTGACGGTTTTTCCTTTTATTAGTATTTTCATCATATAAATTTTTAAAATAATTACAATGGTTGAATTCCCAACCATAAGGCCCCATATCTCGGCTTGAGCATTTGGAAGGATGTAAATCAGGGTAACTCAATGGTTCAACGGACAGAGCCAAATGCCGGTGTGCACAAGAAATCTGCCTACTTTGAACATAATTCTCACACTGCCGCCGCCGAAATTCAAATATTGGTCTCTTCTCCCAAATACTGTCTACTGAACCATTGAGCTAAGCTTGTGCGGACATAATTACAATGGTAAACAAACTGCAAGCTGACACATTCATATATGTAACACTGTTTTCATTCCTTCCTTAATTCCCACTAATGTAAAGCCAAAATGATATGATGTTCGATGAAATTTATTATATGTTTATTATAATAAATATTACAAAGATGAATTGGGGAATCGATCCCATTCTAATTCTACGCACCTTTGGAAGCCAAATCAGCGATGGACGATGACAAGACATAGGACTCTCCGAACCGAGACGACAGAAATTTAAAGCCTCTGGTCTTGAACTTGAAATGGATCATCTTCTTGACCTTCTTCGCCGCCGCGATGCCTCGTCGTCGCCGTCGTCTCCACCGCCTGCCGCCGTCCTCACCATCTTCCTGCTCTTCTTTGATCGTCGCCAGCTTCATCTTTAGTATCTCCTGGATGTCCATTCTCGATTCTGTCTTCCCCAACCCCAAATTTCTCCGACTCGTGCATGGAACCACCCAAAACAGCTTTCTTGATGATCTTAAAGTCTTCATCATCCTCCTCTGATCTTTCTTCTTCGATCTTCTTTTTGTTCTTCAAATCAATGAATCACCAGAAGCTATTAGAGAGAAGAGTAAGTTGGAAGATTTTTGCTCTGATATATCTTTACAGCTATCTTGATTTTATCATAATAATAACGTAACGTACATATATATTAAGTTATATTTGATTTATTTAATAATTAATTGGCATACAAGTTTTAATTCTCATATCATATCATATATCATATTTATAATATAATATAATATAGTAGGTAACTACCAACTAGCCATTCATTACCTACACCATAAATACAAAAGTAAAGAACGTCATAATACACAAATATCATCCTGCGGAAAGGTTTTGCCAAATTTTCAAACTTATTATTATTTCATAACTAGTGAGTGGTCTATTGTGTACCAAAAAAATCTTTCGGCATGCGATTTTTCGAACACCTTAGGTGTTTGCTAATGGTAGCCTTTGCTTGGTTTACCGTTCAATCGAGCTGGTCCAATGAATTTGTCTCATGCTCTACTTGTTAAGGCTGATTTTTCGAAATTTGTGGTCTTCCGAAATAGTAGTAACCTCTTATGTTGAAATTAACTAGTGTAATTAAATTTTTAGAATTAAAATATTTAATTCCAATTTTAAACTTAGAATATTGACACCATAGATGAAAGAGAAGCAAGTGAGAGAATGCTAAAGATCCTCCTGCAAAGAATGAGATTTCTGTGGTCTCAATGCAAGATAAAGATAACAATTGATTGTTCTTTTTTTCTTGCATTAAAAACCTCTTTTCATTTTATTTTTTTACTTTTTTTCTTTTTCTCTTTCCTCCTCATCTCTCCTACTTGGCACCTAAAAAACTACACCAAAATCTCCAATGTTGAGGATGCCCGGCCCTAACACCTTTGAAGGTAACTAATTGCTAATAAGGTTTTAGGATAGTGTTAACATCACATACTCATTTATTTAGCCGTGATCGATCATTGTCGCTTGTATTTTTAAAATTCTCCTATAAGTTTTTCATATTAAGACCATAATTAGAGCATCCCCATCTATAGATTTTGGGTAAGTTTTTTTTAAGTTTTTTTTTTTATAAAAGCGCACTTATGTGAAGGGGAGAGAAAAAAATCTCAACCGGGCACGTTACTGACGCTTCACTATTTTTATTTTTATTTTTGGTTTTCAATTTTTTTTCTTTTTCTCTCACAATCCATCTTCTCTTTTCTAAATTCTAATCACACATGCAAAAATTTCTCAAAACCTACCAACTATAGATCATGCCATCATGTAGTCTAGATTGTCCATCGTATTATGATTAATTATTTTTAAGTGAGTTGCTGACCAAATATTATAACATCCCAACACATTCTTAAGAAGAAAATGAAATGTAACTACTTTTTTTTAAAAGGTTGAAATGTAACTACTATGAACAACTTTGTATGGAGAAATATTTTGATCCGTTCATAAATGCATAATCCACGTAATAAAACGTTTAGTTTGATTTGCCTTTCTACTATACCTAATAGGAAAATACTATATGAACTCTCATTTCTTACTTCCAACTTCTACGTATTCTCTCTCACAAATCTTTGATGTAGACAGTTTTCTTTAGAATCACATGATGAAAATATCCAATTCTTATTTGTCACGTCATAAAGTAAAAGTGGGGGAGAATAATTTGAGAGTACATGTAATATAACTCTACCAAATAAGTCATTAAACTATTTATTGGTCATTTAGTTTGGACCAATAAAAAAAAAGGAAGAATTTATTCTTAAATATGAGGAAAAATAAATTTTACCTTACTTGACTGATGAAAGAAAATCAATTCTTGAGTCTCCTTTTTTTTTTTTGAATGTTACTGGCTCTATTACATTGTAGTATCTGTTCATATACTTTCTCAACCTATTGAAACACAAAGAACCAATAATGCCTCCTTAAATATTTTATTTTTCATATTTTTTTAGAGAAAAAAATATAACTTAAATTTTTATGTTACCTTCACATATATATCTCGATTATGTAAGAATATTTGAATCTCTATACTAATTATTTCAACAATAGCTAAACAATAGAATCACTATCCCAAATAATTTTTTGATAGATTTTTTTGTGAAATATTCTACATGTCTCAATTTTTGAGATAGTCGACTCAGGAGAATTTGGATCTTATGGTATATAAGCTTAGAAATATTTACAGTTTTGCTATAAAGTATTATATATAAAACACAAAGTATTGATATAGGTGCAATTATGCTATATAATGACTCTTTATGTACTTCAAATTGTCTATTACAGTTTTCTTATAAACTATAATTTATTATATATAAAGTTTAAGGTATTGATTATATTTACAACTTTGCTATGCTATTACTTGATTTCCTGATTATATATGCAATTCTGTTATATTATTACTTTATTTAGAGTTTTTTGCACTCTTGGCCCCACGATTATGGTGTCACTAACAACTTTGATCCACAACTTTTAAAATATGTAGAATTGGTCCACGACTATGACTTTCTTAGCAAATTTGGTCCTTTCAGTGCATTTTTCGTTCAATTTTTGTCGGAAAATTTACTTCCCATTTTAACATGGTAATATTGTCTTTTCCATCTCACAAACTAATGACATAAATAAATAAATAAATAAACACAACCAGTGGTAGGGTGTGATTGAAATTAAAATTCACCCAATTCCAATTCCACTTTCAGTTTCACCCTCCTCGCTAAACGCCAAAATTTTTTAGTTAAGCCTACAATTTCTCAATAATTTTTAGTCTAAAATTTCACAATACTGCAATTTTAAACTACCAAAGTCCAAGCCTAAAATTTCAATCACCGTACCATTGGATGTGTTTAATTAATTAATTATTTATTTATTTATTTATTTATTTATTTATTTATTTATTTATTTATTTATTTATGTCGTTAGTTTGTGAGATGGAAAAGACAATATTACCGTTGTTAAAATGGGGAGTAAAAATTTTCAGCAAAAATTGAACAAAAAAATGCACCGCAAGGACCAAATTTGCTAAGAAAGTCATAGTCGTGGACCAATTCTATAAGTTTTAAAAGTCGTGGGTCAAAGTTGTTAGTGACACCATAGTCGTGGAACCAAAAGTGACTAAAACTCCTTTATTTATTGTAAATTGTCTATTGCAGTTTTACTATAAAGTAAATTGTCTATTGCAGTTTTACTATAAAGTATTAATTATATTTACAATTCTGTTAAGAATTATGATCTATTTTTATCTGACCCGTTTCATAGATTTAGACTCGTGAAATCTCATGAAAAACCAACTAACCAACCCTAATTTTTATATAGAGTTAATTTCATTTTTTGTACTAGATTTATAGATGACATCCCATTTTTAGTCCTTTTTATTAGAATATCCACATTTGGTCCTAGTATTATTGTGGCATGATCATTTTTGGTCCTCTATCAACAAAATAGTTTTAATGCCATTAAATACAAAGTTATTCCGATCTTCAATTACGTATTTTTTCAAAAAAAAAATGTAAACATAAAAATATAACGATGTCAACTCACTTTGTATACAAATAATCGAAATGCCTTTGTATTTAACGATTTGCTTGACAGAGGATCAAAAAT